TGGGAAGACGCAGTACAGGGACTAGGGTTAGGGTTAGAAAGTTTAAGTAAAAAAGGTTTTCTTTTCAGATTGAATCCAGGGCACTCGATGTCGTTGTCTCTGCTTACTTACACTTGCACAATGTAAGCAAACTCATTTTGGACTACTTTATAGTATAGGGTGTTTCGATTCATGAGTTTTAGTTTTTCTGTCCTAATATCGATTTTATGGAAAACTAAGGGCGCTTTCCATTCGTCAGAACTGACCGGCCAGACCATTCCCGTCGCAATGATAATTTCACTTTTAATAAAAACTCTCCAGCCAGATCAGTCAAATCCTAAATAGTATGTACCGAGGAGATGGTTTTTCAGCAAAAACTCTTGGAAAAAGGCTATTTCATTATCAAACTGACTGGTCGGGCAATGGTCCGGCCAGCCAGTTCTGACAAATGGAAAGCGCCCTAAGACGTCGTAAAATATTCGGTCCAAAGATATAAACCGTACCATTTTTATCGAAGACCCGGCTTTGTGAAAGAAGTTCTTCGATCTCCGGTTTTAATTTTTCATCCAGAGGTTCGAGTTCTTTGATTAGCTACAAGAAAAAATCAACAACAATGATAGGCAGTAGTAGTAGTTACAAAACTGAGAACAATCATAATAACAAAAAGAAATGAATGAACTATAGAACGAACGAACAATAAAACAACGCTTTAACTATTATGTCTGTGCCTTTCAAAACGTTTACCGGTCGTTTCGATACAAAGTCGCTTCAATTCAAGTTGATTCAGTCGGTTTGTAAATAGTTTCCCGTAGTTCGCCTATTCGTGTCAATGTTTTTCTTGTTCAGGCGCTTACTTTAAGTGATGGAAATTTTTGCGCAGTTCCACCGCTCAAGTTTAGCCTTACCACAGACGTGTTTCTTTTCTTTTCGACAATTCGACAGCGCCATCAAACCCCTTGCACTTGCGGTCAATGAATCCTCCCGCCTCCCGAATTTTAATTCAATACGCGCGCTTGACGATCTCTAAAGAGAAAGTACGGGGACGGTGAACAGGCTAGCTCAAGTTCGTAACGAAACGACCGGTTTCCTTCAAAAGTCTTCAGGCAGTGACAACGAACAAACCTTCTGATACTGTACGAGTCTTTCCATCACAGGGTGATCCCTTGCAGATAATTTCTTGGCTTTGAGGAGCAGATAAAACCCAATGTTGATACAGTAACTACGAGAAAAAAAACGATCACTTCCAATGGGTCTGCTTATTTTTATTATTTTGTCTTGTTATTACTAGCAGACTTTTAAATCTACATGGATTCACTGACCGATGTCAATTATTGCAGCATTATCAGCGTCACCAAATGTCCAGTAAGGTACAAAGCAATTTGTGGTAACTAATAACATCCCAGCAGAATTTTTTTTTTTTTTTTTTGGGGGGGGGGGGGGATAATTAATTTAGGTATTTTTAAAAACTTTTATTGGGGTAAGGGTGAATTTTTAATTTAAAGGGGTTTTTTCTCTGTAACAAAAAAAGACAAGTTTTAAAAAATTACAGTCAATAGCCCTTACTTGTATTATGGTAACTAATAACATCCCAGCAGAATTTTTTTTTTTTTTTTTTGGGGGGGGGGGGGATAATAATTTACGTATTATTTAAAACTCTTACTTGAGGTAGAGTTGATGTTTCAGTTCAAGGTAGTTTGCTCCCTGTAACAAACAAGAACAGCTGTTAAACATTCAAGTAAATCAGCCTTACATGACTTTACTAGCTCATGCTGGAAGTTAAGTTATGAGAGGAGACAACAAAACCGGGATTGTACGGGAACAGATTAACTCCTGCACTTCATTTGATAACAAAGTTTTAAGCTTGTGTGTGTCCTTAAACAAACTTTAAGCTCTTAGAGGAGAAATAAAACCTAAGAAAACCTCTGAAAACAACGAAAGTACACAAAGGTTTCAAACCAAAAAATACAGCGGACAAGTCGCAGTGGTGTCTTTAATACAAACTCTCTAGTTGTTTGTGGGTGAACAAAACGTCAAACAGCTCCACTTTAGCGAGTACATATAATTACATAATGTACCTCTTTAGGGATCTGCCCAGCTCTTGCCATCTTTACAAGAGGATGAAGCTTTTCTATCACTTCCTTTAGCTAATATAAAGAATCCACATTGAAGTCTGTTAGTCCAACACACAAGTACATCACATTTTGTGCACAAAAGTACTTAAAAAATATATAAAATAATTATTATTAACATGTTTTCACTTTTATGTACTGTTTAAACAAAGAGCAGGAGTGTATTATCAGGTTTAATTACTCAAGCTGGGCTTAATACACGACTGCGAGTTTGTTGAACCGCTACAAAATCTCTGATATAGATTAACTCATTCCTGAACTACTATTTAGATTTGGGGTTATTTTGGTCTAAAAAATTGGACATAAAGCTTAGTTGAGTCTTTATCAAATATAAAGACATTTATTAAGCATTAATTTCTTTTGTTTTTCTTTACGACATATTTATAAGTTTACGAATAGCACTTTTTAAAATAATCTAGTAAGTCACTTTCACCTTTGACTTGAATTCATCTATGAGTTGAAAGAGTTCTGGAGAGTCTTTCACCAGGATCTGTTAAAAGAAATTGGAAAATAGATGGCATTGGCCTCAGATAAGGAAAAAAATCGATTGGCTTTTAAAAAGAGTTTCTACTGCTGATTTTCAAATTAACGTTTGGTTGTTTCAGCTTGTCCAGTCATTTATTTTGCTATCAAATTGCTTCTGTTAACTGCTAATTAAAAAATGTGCGTGTGAGAAAAAATCAAAAGAAACAGAAAAGAAATTGGATTAACCTCATTAGTCTGATTAAGCTGTACAGAAGTCTGGGGGCAATAAATAAGTGTAAATCTTGAAGAGCAGAATGAAAAAGCCTATATCAAGTTATAACCACCAATGAAATACCAGTGAGCTTTCACGTGAAAACATGATATCTTCACAAATAACATGTTACAGTCTTCACTGACACACTTAAAAAGATTACCATCGCTATGACTACATATTAAATCGCATCATTTTTTATCTCTGCACCGCCATGTACATGAAATATCCTTTATTTAGTTAATAAAAGTCAGTTTGAGTAAGGTTGTTTAAAATAATGTAGAGAAATATTGAAAAATTTCATATCAATAATTACCTGAATTTTTTCTGCTTTAGATAACTTTGAAAGGTCCTGCACTATCTTTTCCTAAAAAAAAAGAGAGTTTATAATAATATGGCAAGCTCATTTACATTATTTTATTCTATATCTAGTTTATTCAATTCTTACCTTATTTATTGGATCTTGCGCTTCTTTTTTGTAATCTGGTTTTGGAAGCTACAAAATGATGGAAAAGAAATTCATAAACTATGTCAAATATGAAACTCATTAACATAGTACTGTACATGTAGTTATATAGTTCGACTTAAATCATAGCTAATAGCCCTAAAGTAGAAAATGTCAGACCTTCAGGTAACCTGTGTATGTACCATTTTGGTTGGAGGTTGGTGAAGGCCTCAAGTGCCTTCTGGCAAAAAAAGAGAAGACGACAACCATTTGATAGAGAGGATGATTTTACTGTTTATCAACAAAGGAATATCAAGTTAGCCACTACATGAGTATAGTCAGAAATACAGTACCTGTGTATGCATTTTGCCAGACAGATAGACACTTTAATTAATTATTCTATTAAAAGTCTGTTAAATGCTGAAAGGAAAGAAGGAGCTATTGTACTGGTATTTCTGACGCATAATTGCTTCATGCTACAGAAACTGGGTTAGTTCTGGTCAACTGTTGTGCCTGTGACTTGTAAGTGACCAAGATGATCTCACCTCAAATTCAGCAGTATCAAAGTCTTGTTCTTCTAAGCAGGCAGCCATGTGTTTCTGTAATGCCAAAGCTTCTTCTTCTTCCTCTTCAGCCAGCTTATCCATCTCTTCATCGGAACCTGGCAACAAAAAAACAACAGTAACAGTGGAACCCTGATAAGACAAAGTGCCAAGGAAGAGAAAAAATAATAGTCTTCAAATGTACAGGTATACTGAATTCCTGGTCCATACATTTTACTACAACAACAGTACTAGAGCAAAAGGATATCATTCATTATACCAGGGTTACATGTACATTACATAGATAAGTATAATGTTGGACTGTCACTGTGTTAAGTCAAAACAAATTAATGCTAGCTGGAAATACAGGCACAAAGGGAAGAAGAAGGAGGGAGAAAAGAAGATGGGTCTATTTTATTTCTGCTGTTCAAATATAAGGAGCATGTAGCTAAAGTTGGTCACCTGCATATTCCTCAACCATATCAGCATCATAGAAAGAAGCCTTTTTCCTTCCCCAGGATTTCTGACTTGGAATATCTGTAACAAAGTTGAAAAAGACTTAAATGACAAAGTTTGAAGGGCAAAAAAAATAACAACAATAATGGAACAAAAAAGTATTATTTGCATGTACCTTTTTCATTGTCCTTCTCATTTTCGCTTCCTTCATCTTCCTGTAAAATTAGATGTACACTGTACATAGTCAATACACAAAGAATTATTTCTAATCACCAACCACAGCACATATCTGAAAACAAATGAACAATCTATAAAACAGATCAGTATGAAGTGAAATACATGTAGCTAGACCTCATACAAATCTTCATTTTCATCCTCAAAGTCATCTTCATCACCATTATCCTCAGCATTAAACTCACTGTCGTCATCATCAGATTCATCAATATTAAGTGCCATTACATCCTCAACCTACACAAGGCAGAAACGAAATGTTCAAGTACACTCAGCAGAAAAATATATGTCAATGCAGCTATATTTGTTGTTACTGATACCTTAGTAAGAATTAATATGATACAAATTTTGTATCATACCTGTCCATTGTCATCACTAGACTGGTAATTCCCATCTTCATCATATGCAGTGCTATCAAGCAGAATCTGAAACCAACAAGAAAAAAGTTGTCACATCAGGGCCCAGTTATTCAAAAGGTGGATAACACTATCCACTAGATAAATCTCTATCCACTGGATAACACATTTGGTTTCCCTAATACTTATCCATTGGATAGTGATTTATCCAATTGATAGGACTATTCAACGTTTGAATAACTGGGGCCTGTATAATTTGTTAAATCAGAAATAGATTTAGCACTTAAAAAAAGGCAATCACAATTCAACTAGCCCCTGGCTTAGAGATGAAGCCCTTTATTTGACAAAAGAACAGGGGCACCCAACGTCAATTTTCTTAAAATATCTGTTTGGAAGACGATTTGAGATCTAGAATTTTCCAAACATTTGTTGTGAAATTTTTTGCTTGCTTCCCTCTCCTAGGACTTTTGAACATCTAAAAAAATGGTATAATTGCCCATTTTTAATGGATTTTTACCCTAAAAAGGTCACCTAGAGTTTTCGAGAGGCTTTTTTGTGGCTGAAATTTTAGAAAAGGCATGCTTTGATCCCTAAAATTTTCGGACCACTAGAATTTCAGCTAGGAAATCCGAATAGATGAAACATTTTCAGGGGATAAAAATATGCCTATATCTACCGTTAAATACTAAAATATGTTTAACAATGCTATGTCTAAGTGGTTTTGAACTATATTCTTGTTGGGTGCCCCTGAAAAGAAGGACAATCTTTTATTCCCAGTAACAATAATTTATGCTTAAGCTAATGCCATACTTCATGTACAATATTAACACCATTACTGGTATATAATATATATATTTATCAAGAATATCACCATATACAGATTAACCACTCATTACTCTTACAGAGGCCATCTCACCTTTTCTCTTTCAGCATGAAATTTATCAACATCATCATAGAAAAAATCTTCTTTGTTCTGTTAAAGATCAGACAATATTACAAATATTCAACAGTTTTAAAGAGAAATAATCATATCCCTTGAATACTAACTAGTTTAAACTTAACTAAGTGCTGTAAATGTAAGGCTGTAGATTTTACAACTTTAGGTTGATCATGAATCAAGTCTGAGAATAGTGTTCTGGTAACCTTAAAAATTATCCAATAATCTCAGTAATGAAGGAAAAATCTAAAACTTTACATGTGTGATGGGATGTAGTTCACTATCAGTTAATTCGGAATTTAAAAGTCTGCCTTATTAGCTGTGCAAAGCTGTAAATAGAAATGAAAAACAACTTCTTCAGCCATAGTCACATAACTGGTGTTTAATTATAGAGCTTGACATTCACTAGTGTAGGGATATAACTATTTTGTAAATATCTAAATCAAGAATTGTTTTGGCTTTTGTTGTTGTTTTTACTTACAGGGTCTGGTTCATCATAAACCTCTTCTCTTTGGTTGACCTTTGGCCTTGTTGGCTTACTTTTCCTTTAAGAAAGGCAAAAAATGATTAATGAATAACATGTACTTTAAGTACTTAATAAAAAAGAGGCCCCAGAGGGACTGATAAATATTGTTCTTATCATCTTTAGTTATTATAACCTCCTTGCGTGGACTATCGCTGTCATAAAGTCACTCATGGCCTGAAAGGTAATTTTTCTTTTTAAATTATCTCATACATACCCAAGATAAAATTCAGGGCAACGTGAAACTGAGTCAGCGAGAGAGGAGTTGAAGAGAATATTGCGTGGAGAGGAGCAAGGGAAGAACAGGAGTAGTTGTTAAGAAGTGTCAGGGAAAAGGTTAAACTTAACATGTCACAAGTGAGGATACAGGGCAATCCACTTACCCAACCAACATCTGTAGTTACTAAAGATAATATTATGCATCATGGGTAATGATGAAATCAAATGGTGGAAGTATGTCTGTTTATAAGGAAGTTACAAAATGCCAAAAATTCTCTGTGGGAATGTACATTTTAGGACTCTTTCATTTTAAAAACGTAACAAAAACGTTTGAAAAGTACCATTCGTAACAGACAACTAATCACTAAATAAGTGTGGTGAGGCTCTAAAAATTTCCTTTTCATAGAAATGTTGAAAGCAGAGCCTCGCTAAGTAAGGTAAATGGGGCAGGTTATAAAAAAAGTACTCTATATCCTGTATCTGATTAACAAAAACTTGCAGGATGGCACCAGCACATTTTCGTCAACATTTTTAAGTCGTCACGTGCTCGCTGTTGAATCCGTCTGTAACTTTTAACAAGTCCATTTCTTTGAAATCGTTCCCTTAAATTATTTTAGATTGCTGTTATAGCTACCTTTTTGACCGAGCCATATAGCTGCTTTTACCGATGTGCCTCTCTTCGGTTCTGAAAAGAGAAATCTCTAGCAAAGACGACCAACAGCTTCGACGTGAAGAAGAGCTAGCCAGCCGCCATTTTGGATTTGACCGAGAGGGAATGGTTCGTGCGTGAAATTTGAGGGTGCATACCTTTATGCGATTAGTCTCTGGTCATGTGCGGGCGTTTGTTATGACAAAATGGCGGCATTTTGGGTGAGCTCATGAAGCGCCATAAACTTGATGTTCATTACTTGTGGAATCAATGGTTGTTCTTCTAGATGTATTTCCAAGATCATGGGTCCTTATGACATGTGTTTTGGTAAGGGGATAATAAGGGTGTAGTACTTTTTTTAACGATAAACAAAGAATGCACATCCTAGTGAATTTGAATCTGTATTTAAGATTACTATATATACTCAATGATTTCCTGATCTTACGTGAGAGAATTAAATCATACCAAACTGTAAGATTTATTCCATTCAAATAATATTTTGCTGATTGTATTTTTACAGTGCTGGTGTGTTATAACAGAAGCAAATGACCATTGTTCGCGTCCTCTTTCCAGGATTGTGAGAAACCAGCTGACCGAAGTATGTCTGATTTCTTAAAATGAATGTTTATACCTTAAACTCTCTACACTATTCATCAAATCAACAGCATCTTTTGAGGCCCAGATACTCCTTTGTTGGGCGTGGGGTTGGGGGACAGTGGGTTGTGGTCTGGGCAAAGAGACAGCTGACACTTCAAACTACTACTTATAACACCAAATCAACAGTTGATGACTCTTATAAGATCCTTTTTGGTGAGCCAGTGGGGTGGGGGGGGCGGGTGCATGTCCCTGTGACTGTATGAAAATTGAGAGTGTTTTATCATAATTCTCGCTTACATGTGTGATGGAGGAGGCCATGACTGTGTTACTGATATTCCAACTTTTTCTATTCATTCCCCCATTTTAGCCCACCAAAAACCCCTTACATATGTACCTCTTCCACCAGGAGTGTTCAGTGCCTCAAAAAATTGTATTTCAGCTTGTCGTTTGGGCAAACAGCTCTCACATTTTGCTCATCTGAGGCCACTTTTTGCTGGTTTTAGTTAATGATTTAGTCAGAGGATAACTTGCTTGGACCCTCACCCACCAGGTAAGTAAGACTTGCCCAGCAAGAAAATCTACCTGTCCTGGATTAGCTGATAGGTCTTCTTTTGAACCCTGCTTATGAAACACAGCTAAACCCAGACCCAAAATGATTTTTGCTGTTGTCTAATGCAAATCATACTATAAACAGTCGCTTTAACAAATACATTATAATTTCTTTCTTAGCATTTTTACAGTGTATTTGAGTCCAAGAGTGAAGAGCCTCACAGAAAATGCCCATTACACCTGGACAGAGATTTATACAGATTTCAGGAAGGAAATAAAACCCAGGATTATCCTTCAAGATGGGTCTGCAACTTTTGTGGAAAGGCATTCCTTTCTGAACATTACCTTGACATGCATTTTGATAACAGGCACAGTGATGAACTTGTAAAGGTGAGGAAAGAAACATTAAGGGCGGATTATTAAAATAGAGTTTAGCCAGTATAATTTTACCAAAACTGCATTCTACGCCGTTTTCAGTTTGCCAAATGCTTTTATTGTCAGCAGTTTCATAAAAGCATAAAGTGTAGTCTAGAAATTTTAAAAAGATGAATAATATCATTATTCATCTTTTCTAAAATAACCCGTTAAGAAAGAGATCTGGAGTCCCAAAGATTCGTTGAACCACGGCCTACAGACTTTGTTTAAATAACCCACCCCCAAATATAGTGACTAACATCAAGATTATTTTCTCCTAACAATTTCCATAAATCATCAGAAAATGTTGTGAAAACTAACAAAATGAACCCCAAAGGGAAAATGCTTTGATCTTTTATCAAATTCTCCCAGCTAGTCCTTTAAGGAAATCTATGAATATTAGTCTGGAGAATTTGTGTGTGGATATTGGGGCTTTAAGGGCAGTTAAAAGAGTAGCATAGAAAAGTGTTGCTGTCCTCAGCGACAATGAAATGCTTGGTGAAGACAACCAACATAGAATTATGCTACATCATACGTAGATCTATAGAATGATACTGTTGCTGTTTTGTCTGAGCAGTGCTGACCTGTTTTATTGTAGTTTCACCTTTCACAGGACCACTTCAACCTTGACCTAATTTTGATAGGTAAAATAACATTATTTTCCTTTCTTAGGGCACTACTGTGTGTCTTGCTGATTTCTGTGACATCTTCAGATGTGAAGTGTTTGAAAACCCAAGGAAAGACTTCTTTTGGGAGAAAAAACTCTGCAAGGAAGACAGATTAACAGCACGCAGGAGGAGATGTGAGGTAACTGATTACGGTTTAACTCTGTGTGAACAACAAACTGTTTTGAGCAAAGTGTCCCCAATAGATTTACATGTATGTCATTTGGTAAAATGTACAAAAACTTAAAACTCCATAAAAGTTTTGATCATGGCACTCTGACTGTACAATATAATGAGGAAAATCCAAGTACCAAAGTTTTTTACCTCATATGATCCACAGGCTCTAATGCGTAGCTGCCTTCCTCAAGGAAATCTTTCACTTGATAAAGAACTTGAAATTTATGGTGAGTAAAAATACTGGGATATGAATGCAATTTTTTGATCCTTGCCGTTGTACATGCATCACTGAATTAAAACTTGGGACAGTGGTTCACTTCACTTCACTTCACATTCTTGTAGTTTTTAGTATTCTCGTTTTATTGTAGCCTGACCAAAAAGCCCCAATATATAGAATCACAATTTTAGAATGGCTAAATTTGTATCCTATATTCATATTGCATCTGATTGGCTGGTATCCCTGTGGTGATATGCATGGTTGAGAGGCATAAAATGTTGGTGTTCCTCATCTGGCACAATAATGTGATTAGACTATTCAGGAAATGAGCCTGCACTCCTCCCTGTCTCTTGTTGGGGTGGACCTGAGGGTGACAGGCATGAATCAAACCTAAATTGTTGTAGGGTAGTTAAAAACAGATTTCATTTTTAAGGTGAGAATTGTTTGTAACTGTATTACTAGCCTGAGAAAACAGCTGACATTTTGCGACGCTGTTGGTGGTTTCCTCATAAAATGATGTCGGAGAAACAAGCACAGAAATTCCAGAAACACTTCATCAATATTTCAAAATGCACTCATTTCTCAGACGTCATTTCGTCGGGGAGCTAGTGTTGATGTCGCAAAATGTCGGTTGTTTTCTCAGGCGACTGTAGTCCTTGTGAAATGAATTTTCTATCATTTTGTGTAATTCTAGAGGCAATTGGGGCTAACACATGTGCTCTGCTTAATTGTAAAAACTACTGGAAACCCCCTCATCAAGAGGTGAGTAAGCACTGAGCTTGTGTAATAAGCGAGCATGGGAATGCTTATTGATTGTCCCGCATTCCCTTCTCTTATGCTTGCCTGCATCTCCTCTAAGCCTTTGTTTTCATTGGTCCTTGTAGCCTCTATTGTTGGTAGTTTGATAGGGTCAGGGACTTATAAATTATTGCTTCAGTGGTGACATCAAGGACAGCCAGTCAGTCCTCACTGCCAAACGTTGCGTCAACGCCTTTTTTTTGTCTTTCAACCATTGTCATTAAAAAGTCTTTGTTGGAAGAACCGGGTTTGGGTGGTAAACGGGATGGAAAAAGGCTGATTTTACGCAGTAATATTCACATCGTAGTTACAAAGTGCAACGAAATGGTGTCATTTAAATTTTGTCTCCTTGAACGTTTTTTTTTTCTAAGGAAAATTCAACGCTGAATTTTGTATTCCAGATTGCTGCGTGGAAGATAATTCTTTATGCAGTGATAACACCGTTTTTCGTCATGGGACTTATTGTTTACTACTACGCCATCTTCGATCATTACTTGTAAGTATAACGTTATTTCGTGTCCTCGACACGTTTTTCCCCCTATTAGCTCTACAGTAATTGAACACACATGAAACTGAGAAAAAGGAGCAATCATAAATCTTCGAATGTCCAATCACTGTTGTTAGATTGCTCTACTGTTTAGATCTGTTTACAGACTTTCTCTTTTCTATTGAGAGGTCACCGAGTGGTAGACTCCCACGCAGACGTTGTTAGGGCTTCGTCACGCCGCGTTCCTTCTCCTCGACGGAAAGAGGATTGTGAGAGGAGCCAAAAGAACGTCTGCGTAACCGTGGGAGCCTTGCGAGTGGGGTACTAAAATAAAAATCCGCGGGCGATTTATTGACCGCTAGCGCCAGGGCGTGGAGTTGGGTAATTGAGAAAAAGACGCTCATTGTCGCGCTTCTTTCGCCGCTCGCTCGCGCAGTCATTTAATTCCTCGCAAAAAAAAAAAGTTTTGAAGAAATAATGAGATTGTTAATATCCAGGCCATCTTCAGGAGATTTAACAGCTCGACGTTTCCAGCGAAAGCTCTTTTCACAGCAAATCTAAACGTCTTCTTTTTTATCATTGTCTTAACAGAGGATTAGCTCTGACGAAGGTCTAACGCTCGAATGGTCAGCTGTTTAATAACCCTCCATTCGGTGACCAACTCAAGCCTATGAGTTTTTGTGACAAATTGACTTTTTTATCCATATGCACTGTAGTCCTAGACGGTATCGGTGGAAAAAAAAATTCTTTCAAAGAACTACACTCAAGCAAGGTAACTTTTACAGTTTTCCTGAGTGCACTTTTTTCTTGTATTATCTTAGTGGTGATTATCCTACTGACATAAGCTGGTCGCGCGAGGAAGAAGAGGAAAGCATCTCATTGTCGAGACGTTCCAGACGGAGCCCAGATCTGAGGAAAAGATACGGGGGACGCCCACTAATGTATTAGCAGGATTTAAACAGAATTCCCTTGGCAGGATCGGAACAGTGTTTTGGTGTGAACATTTTGAAGAGGATTTCAAGTACCGTCCAATCTTCAAGGAAGTTAACTGGGCTATATTGTTCTCCAAGGGTGAAGTAGGATTTATAGTGCAACAAGTGGTGCCTTCATTAACCGTTCTAGAAAAAAAGGCCGGTTTTCATCCCCTAGTGCGTGCTCTCCGGTTTGAGGCGGAGCGGGAACCGGCAGTCTGCAGACCGAACGCGGACAAGACAATCATGTGACAGGTTGTTAATTAAGCGAAGAAGACTCGGTTTCTCTCCTCCGAAGAGGACTGTGTCCGAGGGAGGTTGGGAAGAAGGAAAAAAGAAGGGATGAAGCGGAAAGAGAGGACGTCCATTTCCCTCTCACCATCGCCCATTGCGGGCTTACTATTTTTTGATTATCAGAGAGATTAAGATTTACGTTTACCGCAAACGGCAAACGTTAGACTCGAGTTGAGAATTCCTCAGAATGGAAAATAAGCAGATAACAACAGTCCCGAACGATTCCTGTGGTTAAAACTGGCATTAAACTACATATTTTTGTGTAGAAGCAATAAAGAGTAAACGGAATAAGGGGAAAACTTGGTCACATGGTACAAATTCACGTCTGCCGTTTGGCGTAAACGTGAATCTTAATCTCTCTATTGCTATTTTTATCGGAATACCCAGCGGGAGAATTCTCGGATCATTTAACGTTTCTGTGAAACTGCCCACCTACCCCTCCCCTAAACCAACATTTTGCGCAAAGTAAGAACTAAGTGTTAATGTTGGTTTAGGCGAGGGGTAGGTGGGCAGTTTCCCAGAAACGTAAAATGATCCCGAATTCTCTTCTGTGAAAAAGACTTGGTAACTGTTTGAATGCTTTAGTACTCAATTCAGTATGCTAATAATTTTCTCACAAAGCTTTCATTTCCTTTTATTTACACAAATATGTTATATCTATCAGTTTTAATAAATTAATCAGTCATCTGACAGTACTAGTCATTAATTTAAAAGTTCACTCGATACTTTATGTCAATAAAATAGACTTCAAAAACGATAATTTTTACGTGAGACAGAAACAATAAAAATACTAAACTCTGGCTGTGTTCACACTATACGCGACAGCTTAAATCATACCGGCGCGATTTCTGTGATTAAGGGCCTGTTTACATGGAGTGGGGGACCCCGGTCTAGTGGGGTTGGTTTCTTTTGTTTTCACGCTCTGGGAGACACAAAACAAAAGAAACCTACCCCACTAGACCGGGGCCCCCCTACTCCATGTAAACAGTCTCTTAATTCCGGCGATCACGAAAGTGGAGGGTCACATATCGGATAGGTTTTGCGCCATACTTTGGTACTGTGTACGGACACTGAGGGGGCCACAGAAAGTGTCCGTATGAAGCGGGTGCCCAAAAACAGGTTTTGACTGTAGTAGATTAAGATTCACGTTTACCGCAAATGGCAAACTCAAGTTGAGAATTTCTGAGAATTGAAAAAAAGCAGATAAAAACAGTCCCGAACGATTCCTATGGTTAAAACTGGCATAAAACTACCTATTTTTGTGTGGAAGCAATAAAGAGTAAACGGAAAGTAAGGAGGAAACTTAGTCACGTGGCACAATACTAATTCACGTCTGCCGTTTGTTGCAAACGTGAATCTTAATCTCTCAAGTGACTGAAAACGGTAACACCTTTGATGAGAGCATGCGCATTTACTGGTATCCAGTACCGTGACGTAATCGTTTTCCAAAACCTCCGTTTTCAGCGAGTATAGCAAAACGGCGTTTTCAAAACAAGCCACTCTGGAGAACGTTTTCGAGAAGATGCGTTTTCGGAGGGTCGTGAAGGGGGGTACCAAATCCCAGTTCCCAGCCTAAATTTGGCCCAAATCCCAGTTCCCAGGCTAATTTTTGCCAAAATCCCAGTTACCAAATCTAAAATCCCATTACTAATGATTATTTGCAAAATCATGCGCATAACGGCGTTATTTGCATTGACGTACTTGATTTCTAGTACCCTTTTGCGAGAAACCTTTTCCGAAGCCATTTGTATCTTCCCTTCACAATATCTTCCCGCCATATGCAAACTTGCAGAACTTGTCCGCTGACCAGGAAAACTGACAGAACGTAACTATGCAACCGTGTAAGCCTGGTAGCTAGACCGCGGGCGCGAAGGCGAAAAATACTGATTTCACAGTCTCTACTGAGGAGTGCAAGGTCTATTGCTACGAAATTTTATTTTTCTATTTCAAAATATTGGAGCAAAGACCGCTGAAGAAAAGAAATCCCATTCCCATTTTATAATTGTTCATCCCATTCCCAGTGGCTAAATCCCAGTCCCAGTGAGTAAATCCCATTTTCCCAGTCCACAATAAGGCTAATCCCAGTTCCCATTTTACCCCTTCACGGCCCTCTTTTCGGTGACCGCTTTTACTGGAGACATGTTGACTGTAGGCCAAACCGGAGAAAAAATTCTCTGTTTTCAAACAACAACAAATATGTATGGACCGGGCCTTAGATTACTCTCTTGACATCCCGCATTCTCCACTCAACTACGACATCATCTCCGCTTTGGGCCCCTTTTTGCTGACTTACAACGGCCGGTAGCGGGCCTTGCCAAGTTCTGCGGGCTCATCCCTCTCACGGTCATACTCTCATCTGGAGTTAACCGTGTCAAGGAAATTCTTCGCTGGGAGAAGTAACTTTTGCCTGGCTTAATGCCTTTATTTAAGGCTTTTTCGGTACTAGAAATTGTCAAAGTATCTTTCGCGGCTTTGACACAATGGTTCTTGCAAGGTGGGTCAAACGTCCTGGCTAATTCAACGATGTCGTAGCACTCCGAAGCTTTCATTATGTATTGGTTGCGAAGAGCATGGACGGAGGTCGCTACACTGCGTGGGCCAGTGCATGCTTCTCGTTGAGAAACCCCTGGTCTTGGGGAGCATGCTTCACATTTAGGCGCTGGTGCTGTTTTGCTGTTATCGTTTGTTTGCGCGTTCGGTAACTGCGATGTATTCCAAACTTTCCGAGAGTTGCTTTCACTGTTTAAAGATTTTGAGCTATGAGCCCGAGTTCGAGACTTAGGAGGTGGTCGCGCTTCGGGATAGAGCGAGCCAGGAACGAACGAAATACCCAACTGATACCCACTGTTACGGAAAGTTCGCACGCTGTCTGAACCATCATCGGAGGCAGAAACTACATGATTCGACGCGCTTGGTTTTCCAGCGGAAGAGGAACGTTTCAATCTATTGACAACAGATTTTGCCCGGTACAGTTGAGGAGGGTTCACTTTAGCAGACTGCGATCGAGAATTGCTAGTCCGATTGGACGTTGATCGAGAGAGTCTTTGAGAAGATCCTTTAGCTGAACTAACACCCTCGGAGCTTTGCCTGGCTTTCTCCTCTTTGTATATTTCCCACAGCACCGTTTCCTCTTTTAAATTTTCCAGTTCTTTCATTCTGTGCATGAACGGGTCCATTTTCTTCGAACCTCTGAAACAGGCATCCTCAATAGTCTCATCTACCCAAGTCTCGGGATAAGGGTCGTGAAATCTAAAGAGGAACTCCTCAGCGGAGAGATTTTCTGGGACGAAGAGCTTTTCATACAGAGGATCACTTTCTTCCCACTGCTGCTTGGCCCTGGCATCAGCTTCAGCCAAGTCCTTGTTGAGTTTTTTATGATCTGTATTCTTGTCTGTGGGGCGTTTAATACTGGTGCGTGAAGAGGGACGTAACGAAGGAGACGGAGAAGAAGTACGAGATGGAGGGGCAGATGATGAGGGGCGTGGCATGGGAACAGGACAGCTGGTACCCCTGTAAGAAAAAAAAAGGGCCATCAGTAAAGTTAAGTTTATCTGATTTTGTTATTCTTCCTTTTTTGGGCCTCAGGTACTCGACCTAACCTTCTGGCGTTCCTTTATTCTGCTCAACCACCCGCTCGTTTTTCGCATTAGTTTTGACGATCTCTGCTCATTACTGTCTTAGAGCCTGGAACAGGCTTAAGGGTAGCCTAATTATCGGGTTTACACTTGCGACAACCAGGGAAGTAAGTGAAAAGACCAGGAGGAACTTAACCTACTTAACCTAATTCGCTGACTCATTTCACTGATCCATTTTGTTGACCTGTCAGGCAAGTGTGAGTATCCAAACCCGGCACACCTAGGTGACACCTTCCTTGCAGGTCGCGATATCACATGCAGGTTAGGACACATAGCGATTTATCACCTTAGAGAACGAAAAAGTTACTAGTTCCCTAATGATTGTCAGCTCCACCTTTCGGGGAGTTAATAAACGATGAAGTACTAGTCAAACTTTGGTAAAAACTGTCAACATTTCGAATATAATACAAAAGTGGTATACGTTCTCTAGAACTTTATCTTGGGCTGAACTTGAAACAATACAACATACTTTTCCTGTCTGCTCCAAGGTCTCGTGAGGTAACTAGAACAGGTGGGTCCAAGATCATTACACGGCTCAAAGGGAGCTTCAGTAGCTGGAATCTCTCTCTTGCTCAAAGCTGTCGCCAGCTGGCTGCGTCGTAATGCAGGACTAGCAAACCCCTCATTGTTCATGTGGTGCTGTAACAGTAACAAAAGATGAGGATCTTGGAAGCCCAACTCACCCTCACTTTTCCCTAAGCACGCAGAGGGAAGCATCTCCCATCATCCTTTGCGCTCCTTATCCGCGCGCATGCGTTAGAGAGACTAAGAATCACATTAGAGAGATATAGAGTTTTAGTAAAATCCAACTAGTGGTCTATTATCAATGCTGCGTTCTGATTGGTTGAGCTACTACTAGGCTATATGTTATGGCCCACTAGTAGCGAAAAGCGCCGGCTTTTTGACGGCAAAAAAACGATTGAAGTCTAGCTCTAACTAGCTAAAGTTGTTTTGTCTCGATATTTTTGACCAACTAGTTGGATATTACTAAAACAATATTCCTCTCTCCCTCATGGCCTCTGAGTCAATAGCCCATTCGGCCTTCGGCCTCATGGGCTATTGACTCAGAGCCCATTCGGGCTCGAGGAATAATTGTTCAATATTTACGGCGAACGGCAAACGTGAACCACGTGACCAAGTTTTCCTTAAATTGTGCTTTACTCTTCATTATTTCTACGCAAAAATTAGTAGCTTCACGTTAGTTTTGACTGTAACAATTGTTATGGACTGTTTTTAGCTGCACGTTTTCTATTTAAGAAATTCCCAACTAGAACCTGAACTGGAGTCTGACAATTGCCGTTTGCCATAAACGTGACTCTCATCTTTCATGGCAAACGTAAGATTCAGGTTAACAATTTCTCAAATTGGAAAATAATCAGATAAAATTGTCCAAAGTAACTCTTACGGATAAAACTAGCATAAAACTTATCGTTTTAGTGTGGACACGATAAAAATTAAACGAAAAAGACAAATAGTCACAGAACGTGGTCACGTGGTACAAAATGAAGTTTGCATTTTGCGGTAAACGCGAGTCTTAATCTCGCTATTGTCGTATGATTTTCGTGGTGCTCTCCCGTCTTTTTCATTTTAATTTTAGACCTTGCACAAGAAGACAATGGAGTGTAAATTGTGTACAAATGTAATCATAACAACGTGTAAAATTATCTTAAATCAAAACAGTTCCCACGGTCTAACAAATCTCTTTTAGTTATCAAAAACATAAAACATGAATCAAAATAGCACGATGCGAGCCAGAAGACTAGCGCCTATAAACTAGGCTAACTGTTTTATTTTTTAAGGTCTGGTACTTATAATTTTTTTTTTTTAAATAAAAAATATAATAAAAGATTATTGGTTTACTCTCTTAATTATTCATCAGTATAATTTTGATTCAGAACAGCGACCTTACAAGGAAAATTAAACATTGGCCGCTCTGTAATCAGGGTTTGAAAGTGAAGCAGTTCAGCTCTCGCCGTAAGCGACAACCTTAGGAATCCATAAAGGTGGTCGCAACTACAGCTGTTTGTTGACGAGAATAGCTCTCGGAAAATAACGTGCGAGTTTTTGGTTTTGTTTCGAAGGAAAATTTCTAGAAAACTAGCGGTTTCGAAAGTTCATACCTAGAATAAACTAAGGGTAAGTTAATATTCTGTACCACAGAAAAGTCTTCCCCAAGAACTTAATTGATTTGCCGCTTGTACACCGACAGCTGTGAACATTTGATCAAACCCGCAGAGAAAACTTTACTTTATCAAGTGTACTTTCAAATTAAAATGACAGAACAATCTAAACAAGCTCTTACCATACAAAACGCATACACTTTTTAGTCAAATACATGAAGGAACGATGTGCAGCCACTATCAAAACGTTAACTGTCACTTAACTGACCACTAAACAGATGTTTTCTTCGCTTCAGCATTGTAAAATCTATTTCCACTCTGACATGAAGTAATGAGCAGCAGCAGATGCTATCTGATGACATATAGTTGCTGAGTAACACCAACAGCCGGGACAACACAGGTGAAAGGATGGTTAATACTAACACAAATCTTAGGATTCAGCAGACGAACGCTTTATTTTTTCTTGTCTCTTTTCTTTTAATCGCTTATTTTCCAGGAGTGTAAAGCGCAGGACTCGAGAGCACATTGACGGGAGGCAATACCATAAAGCTCAGATGATAATGCTTGTTCCCGAAAGTAAGAACGTTCAAAAAGCAACGTTGAAAGTTGATAATACTCTCTTTTGCCACAAGGAATTAGTAGACAAAGGTATTAAAGGAAGTCATAAAGAAAGAACAGAATAACCTCCATGCACTTCTCCCTGTTCACAGTACCTGCACCTTGAATCTAAGTTGCACTGAAGTTTGGGCCCGTTTTAAAGACTGTAATCAGATTTCATATAAACTATTATCAGAAACCTATAAACCCCTTATGAGTTTCTGCTATTATTACAATGCCCTCAACGTCTATCACAATGAGACTAGAGGTTTACCATTTTCGATTGCCTTTTATCATAGTTCTATTTTTATCATACCACATTTTTAAAGTTAAAGTGCATATTTAAAGTTTTCATATTTTTATACAATATAATAGCATTCTTAAGGAATTATCGTATTTGCACGGCTAAAATGTAAATGGCTTATAGAATTACATCAATGTACCTTAAAGCTGTAAATCCTTTGCTGATTCATGCACTGGTTGACATCTCGCACTTGCTGTGTAAGACGCTTGAACAGTTGCTTTTGTCAAGGAAAAAAGTTAAAGGCTTCATCTCAGAAAAGCTAAATCTATTTAATTAGCAACATATTTTATTACTGCAAAAACAATTAATAAAGTGAAAAAAACTTAAGACCATCATACAGAATGTATGTCTGAAGAAAATGAGGAGGTGCATCACAGTGAACTTACGGTGGCCTTCCAGAAAATTTAACCATGCTAACCAAACAAGTTGACTCTTGGCTAGCCTGTGTACAGCATCCCCCCCCCCCCCCTTCCCCCCAAGGAAAAACCAGGAAAGGGGAAAGGGGGGGGGGAGGGGGCCCCAAAAAAAAGGTTTGAGTTATTTAAGAAATTAAGTCTATAAAATAACAAAGNAAATTTAACCATGCTAACCAAACAAGTTGACTCTTGGCTAGCCTGTGTACAGCACCCCCCCCCCCCCTTCCCCTCAAGGAAAAATCAGGAAAGGGGATAGGGAGGGGAGCAGGGGTCCCAAAATACATGTTTGAGTTAGTTAAGCAATTAAGTCTATTACATAACTAAGGGTGCTTCTTACTGGTTTGACCACTGGTGTGGTAACATATTAATTATGTCAAAGAAAAAAATATAACTTCATTATTAGTATGGATGCTGTTATTGCAGTCTCGCTTGAAAAAAGTAAGTGGGCAAAGTCACAACTATCATGAACTCGGCGTTTTCTCTACTCCCAAGCTTCCAAATTGGAAGAGCTAACTCCTATGCACCCAGGGTTCTCATTAAGTGCCGGCAGCAAGATAAAAGGACAGCTTTTTGGAGGTTTTAGCAGTCTACTATTTGGGAAAATAGGGTAAAGTGAGAGAGTGAAAGCCTGAAATTACCTACAGCACTCGATTACCAAGCTGCCTATTTTTATATCCTAACTGTCTACTTTAAAACTTAATGAGAACCCTGGCACCATTATCAAACTTTTATAGTCCAACGACATAATATAATTAGTATAGGTAATAGCATGATTTGTAGTGATATTTGGTATAAATACCAGGAGTGATATTTCAAAATTGTTATACGTAATTTCATGAGCCGTTAGGCGAGTGAAATTTGAGACAATTTTGAAATATCATGAGTGGCATTTATGCCAAATATCACGTACAAATCTTGCTATTATTTGTTTATACTACTACCCACAAAAGGTTTGTAATTTTCACATGTAGGTATTTCAAATTAAGCTGAAATACCACTGCTCTAAGCCAATCAAATTGCAGTAATTTCTTATGTAGTAGTATAATGGTATAAATACAGCTACAATTTAGTTTAACACACAAAAGGAACTTACCAATGTCAATTTAAATTCTTTAACAGTATCTAGACAAAAAAGATAATAAGACAGTAGGGAAAGTACAAGTAGTACATGTACACCTTGTTATATCTGGTATTATTAAGTGAATTTGGTAATAGCTTTAACTAAGCGAAGTACCAAGCTTTTTGACAAACATCCACTTTTAAGCATAAAACAACCATTAACCTGGCCATTTAATGTACAATCAGGTGAAAAAATCAGCAAAAGGCAATTTTTAGGGTTTTGGGTTAAAATTTTATCTTCAATTAATTTGATCTGATATATGTGTCTTCTTCAGGCAAGAAGGAAGATTAAAACAGTTCTAAACGACTTTAATGCATATTTAGTTTTGCAAAATGATGACAATTGACCAAGTTGCAAAATGACAAAACATGCAATGTTATATATCAGTGATAAAGGCAATGAGGACCCTGAGAATTAATTGGGCAAGAAGAAAAGTTATGAAGATATCAGGGCAATGATGGCCGAGGTGAATAGGGTTCAAGTTATATGTTAGATATTTCAAGTATGCAACAACAATTTGCTGTCTGTCCTCTTTGAATTGACCAAGAGATCATGATCAAGAGGGCTAGACATTGGCCAAGTTCTCTGTTGCACTTCCATAGACCAAGCCCAGGGGCCCCACTCACATATTTTAATGACGGGGGGGTCCGAAGGATTTTTTTTGGGTCTGACATTTTGGCCAAATGGGATTTTTTTGGGTCTATGAAAGACGCCGGGATTTTTTGGGGTCGCGAAAACAACACAAGGATTTTTTTGGGTATTGTATTTTTCATCAGCTCTAATCAAAAATAACATAAGTGCAATTTATAGTTTTGTTTTTGACCAAATCCAAAGTTGAAGTTGGCATGTTTTAGCTTTCCAGAAGATAAATAATAAAATTTGCTGATGCAAAAACACTGAGGGATTTTTTTGGCTATGCTAAAAAAAGTAGGGATTTTTTTGGGTAGACAAATTCTGAAGTTGGGATTTTTTTGGGTATAAAATATGAACCTCTGTCGGACCCCCCCGTCATTAAAATATGTGAGTGGGGCCCCTGGG